AATTTGTTGGTTTGTGAAGAACGAGATGCAGCGAAAGAACAGAGAAACAGACGCAAGAATTTTTTTTTCTTTTCCCAAAAACACGTGTTATATATAAATATATATATAATTTTTTTTCATTTTTTTCATTATTTTTTTTTTTATATCTACTAGAAATCAAATGGGCATTAGGTTTATTTTACATTCTCTGCTAAAGAACAAGAAGCAGCGAATGAATAGAGAAACAAATGCAAGAAGAAGAAGAGCGTGAACAGGAAATAGAGAGTATATTATTCATCGTCATTTGAGTACACCAAAGTAATCTATATATAGACTAGGTAAGTAGGAAATGTGATGGCTGAGCCACTAGAAATCAGCCACCTGTAAAGTGAACAAAATACAAAATACAATATATATTTATTACTCTAATATCCCCCTGCAAATTGATGGGTCTTGAATGACCGTCAATTTGTGTCGTAGTGCATGAAATCGGGGTGTTGAGAGTGGTTTGGTGAAGATATCGGCAATTTGGTTGATTGTACTTATAGGTAGTAGACGGATGTTGTTTTGCTGAATATGATCCCGAACAAATTTTTGATCAATCTCAATATGTTTTGTACGGGCATGAAACACCGTTTTATTTGCGAGAGCGATTGCGGAGGTATTATCGCAATACAAATCTATAGGTTGATCTAAGGAGATGCCGAACTCGGAGAGAAGACGGCGCAACCATACTATGTCAGACGTGAGAGCTGCAAGCGAACGATATTCAGACTCCGTAGACGATCGTGCTACCGTGTGCTGCTTTTTAACTTTCCACGAGACTAAGGTTTTGCCAAGAAATGAGCGAAAACCAGATGCGGATTTCCGAGAGACAGGGTCACCGGCCCAGTCAGCATCTGAAAAAGAAGTAAGGAAAAAATCAGATTTTGTAATGGGAATACCATAAGTTAACGTACATTTGATGTATCGAAGAAGACGTTTGAGGAGATAGAAGTGCTGGGGAAGCGGACTGTGCATATGTTGAGACAATTGATTTATGCTAAATGATATGTCCGGTCGGGTTAACGTCAAGTACTGCAAGGAGCCTATTAGTTTACGGTAGATGGTTGGATCCGAAATAATGGGATCAGTGGGGATCTCAGCGGGAAGCTTTGCCGACGAAGGGTTGGAGAGAGGATTACAATTTTTCATGTGTGCTTGCTGAAGAATGGATTTGGCATATAGTTCTTGGGATAGGAAATACTGATTGTCAGTTTTGTTTATTTTGATGCCAAGGAACTCGTGTACGTTGCCAAGCTGTTTGATATCAAATCTAGTATTGAGTTGGCTGATTATGTTGGATATTTCCTGCATGTTATTGCCAGTAACAAGTATATCATCCACGTAAACTAAAAGAAAAATTTACGTTTTATTGGAGACATAGGTTAACAGAGACGGATCAGCATTGCTATGTTTAAACCCGAGAGAAATGAGGTAAGAACTGAAAGTATTATACCACTGACGAGGTGCTTGCTTGAGACCGTAAATAGCTTTGTGTAATTTGCAAACATACTCGGGATGAGAGGCATCCTCAAAACCTTTTGGTTGAGACATAAATACCGTTTCATTTAGAGTTCCATGTAAGAAGGCGTTGGCGACATCAAGCTGCTGCATGGGCCACTCATGATGAATAGCAATTGCAAGAAGAATCCGTATTGTAGGAAGCTTAGCCACAGGACTGAAGGTTTCTGTGTAATCAAGTCCAAATTCTTGGTTGTTCCCAAGAGCGATGAGGCGAGCCTTGTATTTGGCGATAGAACCGTCTGCATGAAGTTTCGTTCGATATGTCCATTTACAGCCTAGGACCTAGGCGTTGCTTGGAGGAGGAATTAAACTCCAGGTTCCTTGTCGCTGAAGCGCAAAGAACTCAGAAGCCATCGCCTTCCGCCAGTCCGGGTGTTTGATAGCCTCGGTATAGGAGGATGGAGTGTGCAAAGTATCTGTAACATTAGAAATGTGAGCAAGATTGAGACGCTTAATTGTTTTTAATTTCCCGGTTTGGGTCCTAGTGACCATATGGTGAGGATGACAAGTAGCAGTGGACGACGAGATGGCATTGGACGGTGGTGCAGAGGGGCTAGGTGAGACGGTGGTAGCTGGGTTGATAGTGCTTAGTTTGGGTTGATTGGCAGAGGGAGTAGCGATCTGATTGGTGTGAATGATCGGCACCGATGTAGTAACGGAAGTAGGAGTAAGCATAAACGGAGATGCATTGATTTCAGTAGAAGATGGTTGGGATGCGGTAGTTGAAGAGAAAGGAAAAGAATGCTCGTTAAACTGGGTGTGCCGAGAAATAATTATCTGATTAGTGTCTAGATCAAGACACTTGTATCCCTTGTGCTGGTCAGAGTAACCCAGAAAAACGGAGGATTTGGCTTTGGGTTGAAGTTTGTGACGAGTGTGCGAAGGAAGGAGTGGGAAGCATTCGCAACCGAAGACACGGAGATGACTATAGTCAGGTGGGCGATTGTGCAGAAGTTGAAAGGGAGTAAGATTTTGAGTTATGGACGAAGGCTTGCGATTGATAAGGTAAACGGAGGTAAGGACGGCTTCAGGCCAGTAGGTATACGGCATAGATGAGGTAGATAACAATGTTCGAGTAGTTTCGATTATGTGACGGTGTTTGCGTTCGACAACCCCGTTCTGCTCAGGGGTGTACAGGCACGAAAGTTGATGTGTAATACCATTGCTTAGAAGAAAATTGCGAAGGTTATTGTTAACGAATTCTTTGCCACCATCAGAACGTAAGATCTTGATTTTCTTGGAAGTATAATTTTCTATGGCGTTTTAAAATTTATGAAAATGTTAGTAACATCAGACTTAAAATGCATAGGAAAAAGCCAACTAAAACGCGAAAAATCATCAACAAAAAGCACATAGTAACGATAGCCGTGAGTAGAAGAAATTGGGGCCGGTCTCCAAACATCGGTGTGAATTAGATCAAGAATCGATTCACATCGGTGCTCAGCTTTAGAAAAAACAGTTTTATGAGCTTTGGATGTAGTACAAGCAGAACAATGTGAAAAATGTGTATTAATCTGTAGCTGAGGATTTGCACTTGAGATAGAGTGCATTATGTTGCTGTTTGGGTGACCAAGACGACGGTGCCAAGACGCGGAGCTGGTGGATGCCACCGAAAAAGCTTGAAAGGATGAGGACTGTGGGACCTTCGGTAGAGAGTAGAGACCATTGCTATAGGGTCCGCGAAGAAGAACTTTTTGTGTCGTCAAATCCTTGAAGACAAAGCCGGAATGATCAAACGTTATGGAAATTTGATTATCTTTTGTAAGCTGCGAAATAGAGAGCAAATTAAATTGAAAAGATGGTGAATGAAGTATTTGGGAAAGAATCAACTTACGAGATGGGGTCGGTAACAATCCCTCACCTGAGTGACTGATGTTAACCGAACGCCCATCGCCCAATGTAACCGAGTCAGAACCGTGGTAAGGCTGGGAAAGAGACATGTTCTCCAAGGAGTTCGTAAGATGAGAAGAGGCTCCCGAATCCAAGAACTAGTTGGTAGAGGAGTGATCACCGGTTGCAAGAAGAGCTTTCTTGGATGGATTTGAGGTGGACGGTGTGTATTGGAGGTTCAGACGACGCCAACAAGATTGCACCGAGTGTTCCTTTTTGAGACAAATTTGATAGATGACGGTACTAGATTCAGACGTTCGGCTAGAGTTGTCCGGTTTAGCATAGGAGCTTCGACCTTTTGAGCGGCGATCACGTCCACGGGATGAATAGAAGGCGTTTTTCGGTTCAGTGACAGTCGTTTCTTTGGCTGCGTCGGCATTAATGTGAATTTCTTCGCTTAGCAGAAGAGAGTAAAGGTTATCCAGACTTATGGGATTGAGCATGGTGCGAATTGCGGTCTTGAAGGATTGGTAGGGACTAGGAAGACCTTTCAAGATATATAAAATTATATCTTCACTATCAACGGAGGACCCGGCGGCAGCGATCTGATCTACCATAGATTTAATTTCGGACAGATACTGCATCATTGTTTGATTTTTGAGAGAGACGTTGTGCAGTTCGTTCTTAAGCCGTATAACCTTGGAACGATTTGTAGATTGAAATCTTGTTTCAAGGCTACTCCAAATTTCAGCTGTGGTTTCAAGATTGATTACATAGGGAAGAACGGATGCCGATATTGTGGAGCAAAGTGCTGCGGCGAGGTTCTGATCAGTCAGAATCCATTTATTGAAATCAGGATTTTGCACCGTGGAGCCATCAGAGTGATGGATGGTTGGGTTCGGAGGTAGGCTTTCTGGATCAAGAAACTTGCTGAATCCGTTTGCCTTGAAGATCTTGGTTATTTGAGACTTCCACAAGAAATAGTTGTCCGAACCTAGTTGAGTATGAACAGTGTTCTTGAGGTTGGAGACAACAAATTTGAGTGTAGAAGATATGAGCGGATCTTCGGCATTCGTCGTTGAGTCAGATCTGTCGCCGATCTGGGACGTAGAGGAGCTTGCCATTGTTGACGAGCTACCTTCCCCGCTCTGATACCATAAAGAACAAGAAGCAGCGAATGAACAGAGAAACAAATGCAAGAAGAAGAGCGTGAACAGGAAATAGAGAGTATATTATTCATCGTCATTTGAGTACACCAAAGTAATCTATATATAGACTAGGTAAGTAGGAAATGTGATGGCTGAGCCAGTAGAAATCAGCCACCTGTAAACTGAACAAACTACAAAATACAATATATATTTATTACTCTAATATCTGCAAAACGAACTTTTTGAGCAATTTTTAGCCTTCTTTGAACCGGCTACGCACTGCTTTCTAAGTAGATGCAAACTATGGTCATAGAACTTTTGGTTTAAAGCAGCTCAAGGTTTTTAAATTTGTTCCATATATTAAAACCTTGGTCTATTTTTCGTTATGTGATGTATTGTAAATGAAATTCAATCCAGAATTAATTTCTCTTTTTTTGCATTGTTTCTATATTAATGGTCTGCATTTGTGGTGATCAGAACCTCTCCCAGCTCGCATTGATCAATTATGATTTGCTTAGCAAGGGCTGGAAGGATGGAGAATCAACACCAGATTCTTAATCGTGCTCTCTTAAAGCTATAATTTTATACGAGTGGTGGAACCATGGGGGATGACAGCTTTCTCAACTGTACACGGTCGTTGTAAATGTATGTTCATGCAAGCTTTTCCTCCCTTTCTATTAAGATTTCGTTTGGGATAATTTTCTTATTATTTTTTAAAGCAATTTTTTAGTTAAAAAAATTTCTAACGAAAGAAATTTTAAACTAAAAACTTACTTTTAAAAGTGATAAAAAAGTTGTCTCAAACATGAGAGATTATTTTATACGGATAACAGATCATCCGAAGGTAAATTAGAGCGCACAATGTCACATGGTACACGGCGGGTATACAATCGTGATACAAAGCAAATGGATGATGTTGCGTGCTCTGATTCACCTCCAAATGGGATCCGGCGTCCGTTCGACGTCCCCACCGAATAATTTTTTCCCAAAACAAAGCTCATTTCTCCTATTTATTCATGATTTCCAATCCTATGCAGAGGTAGGAGCTGAATCTACAGATCCAGAGAGCAATCATTCGCCCTCTTATGGAGATGAAATGTTTCACATCTGGAGTTAGGATTTAGGCCTATTTTATAAACTGGCTAATGATTTTTTTACTTTGATTTACATGCTGAGGAATTCAGTTATGTTGTGTATATGAATCCAGTGCTTTATTGGAAAAATGAAATAAAAAATAAAAAAAATTCGGTGAGATTATTCTGAGTAAATTTAATCATGATAAATTTGAGATTTCTTTTTATTTTTTAGAGGTGGTTAATTATTCATATATTATACACGTTTTAACGTATATTTCAATCAAAATATTTTGAACCCAAAATTACCCTATTTATTTATTAATGAAGCCCTTTACTTTTAGTCTTTGCCCATCACATTTGTATTTACTATTTAAGCTTAAGCCATAAAAAAAAAAATTAGACTTCGATACAACTTTCAAGTATAAAAATTTTAACTTTTGTATTAAAAAATTATTTAAATTTTAACTTTTGTATTAAAAAATTATTTTAAAAAATAATAAAAAAAACATCTCAAACGGAGCCTTAGATGATAGCTAAAACATCCACCTAAAAAAACTAAGGTGAGCTGCGTGCGTGGATGAGATAATTTCAAAGCCTTTCAATACAAGTTGTGCTCAAAATTGGACTGGCAGGTCTTGGAATTAAGTGATAGCAGTGGCTTCTACTGTTGCCTGAATAAGACAATTTTTACAGCAATCTGAAAGCTCGAGAAATGAGCTTGTGGCTCACTTTCATATTGAAAGTTCATGTAGAAACTGCTGTAGCAACTCGAGGGTTATAAAAAGCTTATATGAGAGAGAGAGAGAAAATTATGTTAGATTATAGGTGTTAATAAATGGCCTAATATGTCAATCTTATTCAGATCAGACTTGAAAAATCCAGATTCTGATTGACCCGTTTAATGAATGGATTAGATTTGAGTTGTGAATTCCAACCAATTTATTAAACCGGTTGGGTTTAGATTGACTTTCTAACTCAATTTTGACCCAAAAATGACACAATTAATATTTTTTTTCTTGAACTCTTTTATTTGTTGATATAATCTTTTTATTTTTTATCAATTAATCTAAAATTTATGATTAACAAGTTAATATAAATATTTTGTAATTAAAATGAATTATCGGATCTGGTTCAAATTTACATATTCGGATTTAGGTCGGATTTGTTGAACCATTTTGATACATCTATATCAGATTACACTGGTCAAATTTTTGTGAGAACGAATTTAAATTTTTTTTTTTTGAAATATTTTAGGGCTGGGGAGACATTAATTTTTTAATTATAATTAGCTGAAGAACTATAAGCAATTTCAGAGCTTTTTGCTGTCAATTTCGACAAACAGTTACCACAAGAACAGTGAGGGGCTCATAGTTGCCCACGAAGCCATTAATGCCCTACTTGAAGTAATGGAGCCCATTTGAAGCTAATCACATTTGTCCTTTCTTCCTCTCTCACTCACTGTACTACTTATCAGGTTCGGAGCGCAGCACACATTTTTTTTAATTAGCATGTTTGATAGAATAATTTAAAATTACTAATCACACTTATTGCATCCTAAAAAAATTGTAGAGATAGAAAGAGATATAATTTAGTGTCTTAATTTTGCATGAAGATTCAGCACATAAATATATGAGAATAAGGGTGTAGGGTTCATAAGAGACGCCAAAATTTTTATGTGGGAAACTCTAAAACGAGGAAAAATCATGGAGTCTATCCTAATTTCAATGAATTCGCTAGAATTGATGGTTGAGTACAAATGATGTCTTTCCTTGGGGGGAGGTTTTATGTAGCAAATAGACATTGTATAGAGTTTTTTACATGATAAATGTTCTTGAAAGAATGTTGACATGTATGTTTGATCAGTAGAATTGTATTTGTGTGATCGAGGTCGGAAAGATCATATTCGGCAGGAAAAAGTGGTAGGAGGGATCGTAGTCGATAGGTAATGGTGGTCGAAAAGATAGTAATCGGGAGGCAACGATAATCAAAATGGATCATAGTTGGCTGTCGACGGTGGTAAGAGTTGACTGTAGTCGGCATACAACGGTGGTCAGAATAATTGTGGTTGGAGGGTGATTGTGGTTTGAGTGGACCGTAGTTGACGAGAGATAGTGGTCGGAGTGAACCGACGGAGGTTGGAGTGGACCATAGTCGGCGTGTGACGGTGGTTAGAGTGGACCATAGTTGGCATCCGATGGTGGTCAGAGTGGATCTTAGTCGACGGGCGATAGTGGTCAGAAGGACCACAGTCGGCGGACGACAGTGGCCAGAAGGATCATAGTCAGCGGACGACGGTAGTTAGAATGGATAGTAGTTGGCAGGCGATGATGATAGGAGCTGACCATAATTGACGGGTGACAGTTGTCGGAAAGATCGTAGTCAGAGGGCGACGGTGGTCAAAGTGGACCTTAATCGGTGGGCGAGGATGGTCGGAGTGGACCGTAGTCGACGAGCGACGATGATTGGAGGGGATCATAGTCAGTGGGCTACGATGGTCAAAGTGGACCGTAGTCGACGTGCAATGGTGGTCAGAGTGGGTCATAGTCGACGAGCGACAGTGGTCGGAGTGGACTGTTGTCAAGAGATGATGGTTAGAAGGACTATAGTTGGGCTATGATTTGTGGACGGGTGGAAGTCTAATGAAGGTCAGCGGTCAAGCGAAATTTCGGCAATAGTCGGTAGGCAAGAGAGCTCCCATATTTCTTTTCCTCTCTTTTCTTGTTTTTTATTTCCTCCCCTCTTCAATGAAGAATGTGCGATTTATTTATAATTTTTCAAGAGTAGCATGACCAATAAATATGGAGAAGATCAAGTGCATGTTGTGAGCATTTCAAAAGGATGGCTGATATCAACTCCCTTGATCACGGATTGTTTATCAAGAATTCTCTTAATGAAGCCATAATTTGGCAATTTTGGGCTCATTGGATTCGTCTCGTAGAGCCTCTCGATTCAATTATAAGCATATCACATATGCATATCATTTGGTTATCCAATTAATGATATGAAGTTTCCAAATAGGCTTTAGGCCTTAAATTTGGACCCATCTTGGTTCAAATTGGATCGATTTTGGTATCGTTGGATTTGTATATTCGAGTCCTTCAGTTTGACTATAAGTTTGCTGAAATCGGAGTTTGAATAGTTCCAAATCTAATTTTGAAGGTTTTTAATTCATACATGTATCAAAATTCGTGCTTAATCAAGATATTTTTTGATGAGATATCAACATTGATTCCTTGAATTAGTTTTTGCTCTGCAGCTAATATATCATTTGAATATAATTTTTAGGAGTTTTTGTCAATCAAGGCGAATAATTCTCACGTAAGGAGATTCGATAAGCGACGTGAGGGTCTTGGATTTGGCTTCATTTGAATTTTTTATTCAGTTTTTCCACTTAAAAAATGGTTTACGTACGACAGATTTGATTTGTCATTAAAAGAGAGAGTGTAAATGAAATCCTACGCTAAACATTTCTATGGCTCTATAGAAGTAGCAATAAATATTTTATAATGTATGGTTTATGTAATCATCAAAGTCTTGCGTTGGCTAATCCATTAAATAAATAATGGTTTTGAAAATAAGATCCGATTAGTCAGTTCGATTGATTCAATTATGAACTAGTCCTATGACTGAATCAATCGAAGTCGAGATCATTTTTGCAGAGAATCGGTCGGAACCTGCGATTGAATTGGTCGACCGATTCGATTTTTTAAGAAATATAGATCGTTTTCTGACCTACCAAGTTCAACATCTCTCCAATTTATATTTTTTTAGACTTTTATATTGAATATTGTTATTATTTTAAGTTAAATATCATATAAATAATTATATTGATGTCCCAAAGTTTTGATTTATAATAATATTAAGAAAATTTAGTAGTAATTAAAGTATCCTGATTTAGATTATTATATATTTGATTAATAAAAATATTATTATTATATCATTTAAATCATATTAAAATAAATTTAATAAATTATGACATCAATTTAATCTTGATTGAACTAATATTGAATCTTAAACCTATCATTTTTTCTGTTCAATATCTAATCCAATTTTCAAAACCTAAACTACATTAGATATTGATCAAAGCTGGCCTTCATGTTCCCAACTAAGCATTTCGATCGTTTAATTTTTTTTATAAATAAGCGCGTCAACAAAAACACATTCACAAACAATGCGTCTTTTTTTGGAGGTCATTTAGGTCAATTAAAATCATCCGCAATCGAACGGCATACATGTGATTATCATCCGCCAAACAATCCAACCAAATCTGTTTTCACCTGCTATTCTTCGGGAATGAACAGTGCGATGCCAATATTCTTCGCACTATTCTCACATCCTATTTTTTCTTTGTTCGGAATTTGCCGAAAAAGCGCGTGAAAGAGGAGAAAGACAATTACCACTGGCAGCGAGATGAAAAAGCGGGCGAAATGGAGTTCGATTAGAGGCAAATTACCGTATTTTGGAGTGGAAAGTGAGCTTTTCAGTTGGAGATGCCCTAAATCAAACTCACACACATCATATATACATGAATCGAACCCAAAACTTCTTGATAGACAATCAAAACTCTCGATCAACAAACCAAGTCGAGCAGCGCAAATAGTATTCCCACAACAATAAAAATAAAACGTTAGAAAGTGTGGCTTGAAGAAGCATATAACGACAACTAAAGGATCTGAAGATGAAAAGCCGGTCACGTAACTGCGTTATCTGGAAAATAGACTGTGCAGCTGTTTCCATTGCAGAATATATCTTATATAAAAGCCATGATTGAGGAGTCAGCATCTCCAAAGATAAGGAGAGCAATTCAAACAGTACACAGCTGGCTGATATTTCAGGTCGATAATTCTATTAAGAAACAAAAAGATTCATCTAAGCAACCTGATTTTGATCGTTAGAATGTGGTAATCTGACAAGATTACTCGACGCTTATTATATTTGTTGCAGAAAGGTATCCATCGACCATCTCAGCTGTCATCTTCTGCTAATGAGCCATATGTAGCATTTAAGACTCATTTCATGCTATTGATTTGTGGTATTTGTAACGTAATTAATCTAATCTGCTATGGTTTGGCAGACGATGATAAAGCCATGAAAGAGACGTAATTTTTAGTCAAATTGATAATCTGGATGCAAGATCTACTTTGTCCTAATCATATTTGGTTGATCAATGTTTGATACAACACCAAAATCAC